GACAGAAAGAGGACAAACTAAGATGATATTCGAACTGAGGTACTACAGGACATATACACGAGTTTATATACTATGAGGATAACGGAAGTATCAGTAAGCAAGGGTCCGAGGCTATGTACGAAGCATGTGCAAAGGTTATCAAACGCGAGTCGGAAATGAGACATAGGTTAACGGATCAGTAATCATACCGGTAATAAGCATAACCGAAACACCGGGAAGAGGAAATACCGAATAGGCTGTGTTTAACGTTATATGAAACAGGAAATGAATTAGAAAGCTTATCGTAAATCGGATCGGAAGCGGATCTATACATCGGACCGGACCGGATCTCAGGGTCCGAAGTCCGGAAGAGAAGCGTGAATATATGGGATATGACACTCCAACAAACCAGCCCCCAAAGCATCTCGCGTATGTGGAGTGGTTTACCCCCTTTCCTGCAACACCGGATCCCAGACACAGCATGTACAAAATTAGTCAGTTAATCAAGTCTGGTGAGAGAGTCGCGAGTATCATTCCAGTGTCCAATATTACCCGCAGCATCCATCTCATGCCAAGGTTTGGAGCTGTTGCACCACGACACTGGACAGTCAACAATGTTCTTGAAGAATGTGACACCTTCTTCGTTAATTGTTATATTGATAGGCATAGTTTTGTGACACTTAGATGATGCGCAAATTTTTTCGTTACATTATTCTACATTACATATAAGTTGTCTATTTTATTGAAATTATCATAAATTAGAGAAAGTTTTACATACTTAGCCTAAATTTGTAGCAGAGGGTTTTCCTGATGGAGGATGACCAAGACTCAGCCAACCTCTTTGCATTGTGCAGATTCATTGTCGGTCATTGTTTTCATAACCTGTTCACACGAATTTTTTTGGACCAGAAGACATGGGACATCCACATGGCCCAAAAGTTGTGTGATTGGATGCCGGAGGCCAACGAACTCTCGGACACTCACTGGTTTGATGCACCCACATGGTTTGGCCTGATTTCCATACCACCTGACAGCTTCACTTGGAAAGGCCTCAGGACGCGTAAGCAAGGTCCGACAGACAAGCAGGTCATGCAGTTGGAATTCTCAAGCAAGATTGTGCAATTTTGGGCTTGGCTGCTTGGCTGCCTCATCATGCTACTCAAATCTTGTTGTTATAGCAGGTACGACTGAACAATCAGTAAACATACTTGCTGTAGGAGTTAGTGCATATTGGAGATAGAGGTACGAGCACAACAAGGAAAAGATTAGTAATATGTAGAAGAATTAGTAATGTAGGGAACAAATAACCGGTAATGTCCGAAATGGACATTATTTGTCATTGACTTGCAGACCATAGACAAGTCTGCGATTACATATACACGGTCTGGGTACTTACATTTAGCGTACCTTATTATATATACTGTAGCATTATTTCGAGTAGAAATTCAGTCTAATTAATTATCTCAAAGTCTTCATTCAAATACTACACTAAAGTTTACAGGTTATGAGCCCTGCTACTACCATGGATATGATGCTCCCTGGCTCCTCATCATTATATCATATCCCCCAGCTCTCCGATGACGAAACAAACTGGATAACCTATAAGGAAAGGGCCCAAACAGTGATACGAGCGCGAGGTCTGATGTGCTATCTTGATGGTAGGATGAAGGAACCTGTACCTTTCGAGATTGACTCGCAAGGACAAGCACTGAAGCCAAATAAATCAGTAGCTACCCAAACAAAGATTGAAGAACAGGAGAAGAAGGAAGACAAGTTTCAACAGAAGGACTCACTCGTCAAGCAACACATATTTAGTACAGTCTCAGACCGACTATTGTTGCGCATCCAGAACCTCGGGCAAGCCTCGAATATATGGGCAGAAATATGCCAAATCCACGAAGGCAAAACAGAGATGGTGCAGATAGATCTGCAACGGAAACTCCAGGACACCAGATGCGAGGAAGGTGGAGACGTGACAGCACACTTCAGAGACCTGTTAAGGATCCAAGAATCGTTAGCAGGAATGGGAGTAAGCATAGACGAGAGAGATTACTATGCCATTATCATGGGATCATTGCTGGAATCCTACAGACCAATTCTGTCATCAATAAATGCCACAGCATGCATAACAAAGCAGCCGCTTACCTCATATGAGCTGATAAATGTTATCACAGAAGAATACAAACATCAGCAGATAAACAATCCCAAGACACAGAAGAAAGGGAAGAATAGTGTGTTTACAGCAAGGACAAACACGCTAAGAGGACGTACCACAACGAGCAAGGGTGAAGATATCACTTGCTTCAATTGTGACAGGAAGGGTCACTATAAAGCCGATTGTTGGAGGAAAGGAGGCGGAAAGGAGGGACAAGGACCAAGGCAGACGAAGAAAGGCCAAAAGGAAACAGCAAACGCTGCAGACAAGATCGAAAGAGCAAATGATTATGCGTTCGCAACGTCAGATCTAGTGAATATTGCAAAGAAGATAGACATACCAGTCGAAAAGCGCGGAGAAATTATTGACTCTGGCGCTACGTCCCATTTTTGCCCAGATAGGTCAAAGTTTGTAACGTTTGAGCCAATCGAGGCCCAAGACGTACACACTGCAGATGGATCTATTGTCAAAGCCATAGGACGAGGAGATGTTAGCATAGATCTTCCTCTGGGAGATAAGAAAACAAGCATTACACTCAAAAATGCTTTCTATACTCCAAAAATGGCTTTTACACTCATCTCGATGAATTGTATTGCAACGGCAGGATTCGCTATCCTATTCAAGGATAAACTCTGCAAAATCCTGACAGCAGCACCAGAAAGACGGACCATAGCTGCTATTCCGCAAGTCAACAGGTTATACAGCGTTGTGGATCAAAATCAGCATCAAGCACACACGGTAAAGACAAAACAAACTGTTTTCGAGGCACACCAGACACTAGGACATGTGTCACAGACTGCGATACTTGACGCTGTGAAGAAAGGATTAATCCAGGGTCTAGATCTCGATATAGAATCAAAACCGGAATATTGCGAAACCTGCGCACAGGCCAAAGCAACGCGTCAGTCATTTCCCGAAGAATCCAGAACCAAATCTCGTACCTATGGTGCATTGGTCCATACTGATCTCTGGGGACCTGCACAAACAGCAACAATAGGAGGATGTCTATATTACATCAGTTTTACTGATGATTATAGCAGGGAGACAAAGATAGAATTTCTGGAGAAGAAAAGCGACACACTTACCACATTCAAGCAATACGAGGCTTATGTCAGCCGTTCACACGGAGCGCATCTGAACAAAATTCGTTTAGATCAAGGAGGTGAATATCTGAGCAAAGAATTTGATGAATACCTGAAAGATCAAGGAATAATGCGACAACTCACAGTACATGATTCGCCACAGCAAAACGGCATGGCTGAACGACTCAATTGAACACTGGTCGAACATGCATGAGCCATGCTCATCGCCAAGGACCTTCCGAAGTTCTTATGGGCCAAGGCTATTAATTATGTGGCATGGTTAAAGAATCGCTTACCGTCTCGTGCCATTCCTGGGCATATGTCTTTCGAATTGATGCACAAAACTAAACCAAGCTTAGTGGCAGCAAGAGAATTCGGAACCAGAGTATGTGTGCACTCACCAGATCATGGAAAGCTCAAAGCCAGAGCAGAAGAAGTGTTGTTCGTGGGAGTGGACAATGAAAGCAAAGGATACCGAATTTTTTGGCCAATGAAGAGACGGGTATCTATAGAATGCAACGTTAGCTTTGTCCCACCAGATGTCATCGTTCATGACAATGTACTGGACGAGGGGGAGTATAACTAGGAAGAACAAATCAACGCACCGAAAATCGCCCAGCCCATCGCACGAACTCCCCAACTCCCCCAAACACCAAGTCAACCTCCCAAAACACCACCCCAGAGTGTACAAAAACTGCCAGATCCAATAACACCCAAGGCCACGAGAGTATGACCACCTGCAGGATACTATAAAGCCTTGAATGAAGGAGAGAGAGCTAATATAGCAACAGAAGACTCACCAGATGACACTCAAACGAATTTTTCGTATATGGCCATGGCAGCCGCACAAAGAGAACCAACGCTTAAGGAAGCATTAAGCGGACCGGACACGGATGAATGGCAACAGGCCATAGACTATGAGATTAGTCAATTGGAGAAACTTGGAACATGGGAGAAAGTAGATGCACCAAGAGGAGCCAACATCATACCGTGTCATTTCGTCTTAGCGACGAAATGAGGACCTGATGGGGAGAAAGTCAAGCTGAGAGCACATCTAGTTGCAAATGGTCAGCGTCAAGAATACGGCATCGACTATCAAGAAACGTTTGCCCCTACCTCAAATATGACAACAATTCGGACAGTATTGTCAATGGCTGCAAGAAATGATTGGGAGATGCACCAAGTGGATATAAAAAGTGCTTACCTAAACGCTACACTCAAGGACAACGTGTATATGCAGGCACCATCCAGATACTTGAAGAAGGGAGAGGAAGGAAAGGTCTTGAAGCTGCTGAGAGCTTATACAGCTTGAAGCAAGCCGGGTTTGAGTGGTCCGAGGAGCTAGAAGAATTTTTCCTCGAAGCTGGATACACACACTCGCAAGTCGATAGAGTGGTGTACTATTGGAGGGAACAGGACGAGCACACCGTCGTAACGGTATTGGTTGACAACATGGCCATAACATCAAAGCATCTGGAGCATATACAGAAGTTTAAAGATCAGTTGCGCCAGAAATTTGAGATAACAGACCTGGGAGAGCTTACCTGGTTGTTGGGTCTCAAGATAGAGAGAGACCGAAGCGCGCGAACCGTAACGCTGTCGCAAGAGGCATATGTCGACACAATTGTCGAATGCTTCCGCCTCGAAGACGCAAAACCGGCACATATTCCCATGGAGACTGGGATACAACTGACAAAAGAACAGTCAGACCATTCGCCAGGCACCAAATCTGAAATATCCAAACAACACGTACCGTATCAGAGAGCGATTGGATCGCTAATGTATGCGGCAACTTGTACTAGGCCGGACATAGCACTAGCAGTGTCGGTACTGTCGCAATTCATGCGAGAACTGGCGAAGTCACACTGGGAGGCAGCAAAATTCGTCATCCATTACCTGAAGGCAACAAAGAAGGGAAAACTTACCTTGGGGGGGGGGGAGAGAAAGATCTAGAGGCTTATGCGGATGCGGATTGGGCAAGCCAAGCCCACAGGCACTGTTACGCACTCAAATAGATCTGTTATGCGGAGCCCTAAGAGGGGCATCGTCCGCTAACGTTCGTGACGTAACCGGAAGGGTCCGGTGTAGCGACTGAGACTGGCGACGTCGAGTCGGCAGATATCAGAGACGCGCGTGTCATGTGACTTCTAAGACGGATGTCTTCAAAGTCACTGACGATCTCAAAGTAAGGACAGTCTTGTCCGAACGATGAGTAGTCGATCGAGGTGGACTTAGGCGCGATGAGCACCTAAGAAAAGATACTAGAGACTGAAGCTGAGGGGGCTTCAGAGGGAAGTATGTTCGAGGGAAGATTGAGTAGATTCAAGTTAGGGAATCTAGTACAGAGTGACCGACTACTTATACTAAGTGGAAAGGGTTAAG